TTGCTTTCCATTGTTTCTTTTAGTTCCCTAAGCATCCTAAGTAGCTCCCTTCTGAATTCCTTGTCAGAGAGGTTGTCTAACACTACAATACTGTTGGTGTCTTCTGGGCTAGCCTCTTCAATAAGAAAGTTTGGTGGGCTTTTGCGTTGCTTTACCGTTGTGACCAGTGTGCTTTAGTCCTTCACGTTCACTGTTACTATTCTGGTCGAGTGGAGAGAGTTCCCGGATCCATTCAGCTTTGTTGCCGCTGGATGTGATGTTGCCTCAGTTCCAGTCCCGTGCAGGTCAAGGGAGAAAACCGGCAATTCTAGGGGATCAAGCTAGCTGCGCATTCCCTGGGGGAGTCCCAAGCCGTGGGGGCTGGCTGTACCTGGTTGAATGAGGAGAGACTGCCAGGAGTCGTTCAGTTTTGTTGCCGAACAATGGGCCTCGGTTCCCGCCCGGCACAGATTATACTATTCCCTCTTATAATGGGAAAGGATTTTGGATAAGGTTTTGTCGATGTTCAGCACCTTCCTACGTTTCTGAGTTTGACCTTCTTCTCAGTCAGGCGTTATTCTTTGTTTTATAACCGACATTGAGTGAAACTTTTGGAGGAGGTCCTATTTGGTACTGAGCTTATACAGCTATTTTCAAACAGGTCTTTGTTGGAAATTGAATAGGCGAGTGGGCTGTTGTTGGATTGTAGTAGAAGAGGTGGGAAATTTTTGGTTGGTATTAGGCGGCAAGTTGTGGGATGAGAGTCCTGAGTGCTTGATGTGAGTGATATAACTGCGGCCACGTTAGCGGCCTCCCGGCGAGGAGAAGGCCACGCCCACTTTAAGAGGCCACGCCCCTTTCCTGGTGGCCATGCCCCTAGCCTGTCCCAGGTGACTCCCACCCAGGATCCTGGAATGGAGGAAGGGTGGTGGACAGTCTCCCCACTGGGCTTTAGGCGGGAATCTGAGGCACGGCTGGGGGGGCAGGAGCACATCCCGGCTGGGCGCCCCCTGCCCACCTGGAGGGGAGGGGCCGAAGCTGTATAATCTTTTTGATGAGTTGTTGAATTCTATTGGCTAGTATTTTGTTGAGAATCTTCGCATCCGTGCTCATCAGGGATATCGGCTTGTAGTTTTCTTTTCTTGTGGTGTCTTTGTTTCCTTTTGGTATTAGAGACATATGGGCTTCATAGAAGCTGTTTGGGAGAGTTTCTGTTTTTTCAATTTCCTGGAAAAGCTTGAGAACTGGCAATAGGTCCTCTTTAAATGTTTGGAAAAATTCGCTAGTAAATCCATCTGGGCTTGGGCTTTTGTTTTTGGGAAGACTTTTGATTACAGTTTCAATTTCCTTGATGTGAATAGCTCTATCCAGGTACTCTATATCTTCTTGATTCAGCTTTGGGAGATGATAGGAATCCAGGAATTTATCCGTTTCTTCTAGGTTCTCTTGTTTCGTGGCATACAGACTTTCAAAGCAGTCTGTGATGAGCTCTTGAATTTCTTTAGTTTCTGTTGTGATATCCCCATTCTTATTTCCGATTGGATTTATTAGGGCTCTCTCTCTCTCTGTTTCTTTGTGAGTGTTGCTAGTGGTTTATCTATCTTATTTATTTTCTCGAAGAACCAGCTCCTGGTTTCATTGATCTTTCGGATTGTTTCTTTGTTTTCCATGTCATTGATTTCTGCTCTAAGTTTTATGATCTCTTTCCTTCTGCCTGACTTAGGCTCTTTCTGTTGATCCTTTTCTAAGGTCTTGAGCTGTGAGTTGTTTATGTGCATCGTTTCTACCAACCTAAGATATGTTTGCAGAGCTATAAATTTTCCCCTTAATACAGCTTTCGCTGCATCCCATAAGTTCTGGTAGTTTGTGTCTTCATTCTCATTTGTTTCCAGGTATCTTTTGATTTCATCCTTGACTTTGTTCCTGACCCACTCGTTGTTCAGCATCAAGTTGTTTAATTTCCAGGTGTTTGATTTGGTTCTCCATGTCTTTGTGTGATTCACTTTTATCCTCAGTGCATCATGGTCTGAAAAGATGGCTGATACTATTTCTATCTTCGTGATTCTGTTGCGGTATGTTTTGTGTCCTAGCACATGGTCTATTTTGGAAAATGTTCCGTCCGCACTGGAGAAGAATGTGTATTCTTTCTTTTTGGGGTGTAAAGCCCTGTATAGGTCCATAAGCCCTTTCTCTTCTATTTCTTCTTTCAAAGCCAATAATTCCTTGCTGGGTTTTGTTCTTGTTGATCTATCCATAGGTGATAAGGCGATGTTGAAGTCTCCAAGTACTATTGTGTTGGTAGTGATGTCCTCCTTAAAATCTGTTAGCAGTTGTTTTAAATATTTAGCTGTTCCCTCATTAGGTGCATATACATTTAAGAGTGTGATTTCTTCCTGTTGTACGTATCCCTTGATGAAGAGAAAATAGCCTTCACTGTCCCTTCTAATCTTTTTCAATGTGAAATTAATGTTGTCGGATACTAGTATGGCCGCCCCAGCTTTTTTGAGGGAGCTGTGTGCTTGCAGGATTGCTTTCCATCCTTTGACTTTGAGTCTGTGTTTGCTCTGGCTGTTGAGATGAGTTTCTTGTAGGCAGCAGAATGTTGGGTTCTGTCTCTGTATCCATTTTGCCACTCTGTGTCTCTTAAATGGTGAATTTAGACCGTTGACATTGAGAGAGAAAATGGTTATGGGGTTTTGTGTCATCTTTCTGTGTGGGTGTGTTGTGTTTGTAGGGTTTGTCTTGTCTTATAGTAGCCCCTTTAGGCCTTGCTTTAGGTTTGGTTTTGAGTCTATGAAGTTCCTGAGCTGCTGTTTATCTAGAAAATAGTGTACCGTTCCTTCGATTTTGAGGGAGAGTTTAGCCGGATAGAGTATTCTTGGTGAAGCATTCATTTCAGTGAGTTTTTTGACTATATCTCGCCACTGCCTTCGGGCTTGTAGTGTTTCCTCTGATAGGTTTGCTGTGAATCTAAGGGGTGCTCCTTTGTATGTGATTTCCTTCTTTGCCCTTGCTGCTTGCAGTATTGTGTCTCTATCGGCAGCATTGATCATTCTAACTATGATATGTCTTGGAGTGTTTTTGTTGGGGTCTCTTTTAGCTGGCACCCTTTGGGCTTCTTGAACCTGAATGGATGCATTGTGGAGCTCTGGGAATTTTTCAGCAATGATTTGTTTGACGGTGTTTTTTTCGTTGGGATTGTTTCCCTGAGCTTCAGGTAGTCCCATGATTCTAATGTTGTTCCTCTTGGAATCATCTGCTAGGACTCTGATTCTCTGTAGAGCTATTTTGAGGTCCCTTGCCACTGTTTGTTGTTGCGTGTTGGCTTGGTGCAGCTGATCTTCCAGCTCACTGATTCTCTCTTCAGCTGCGGTCATTCTATTTTTAAGAGAAGAAACTGAGTTTCTCATTTCATCTACGGAATCTTTTAATCGTGACATTTCTGCTCTCATTTCTTCTCATAATTTGTCGATTTTTTCTGTGGTGTTACTGTGTGTCTGTCTGACTGTTTCATTGAGTTGATTGAACATCTTCATGACTTCGTATCTGAATTCTATGTCAGAGAGGTCCCTTAGGTGAGCTGTATCGACAGAATGTTCTAGATTGTTTTTGTTGTTCTCCCCTTGTGGTGGGGATTTTCTTTGTTTCTTCATATTGCTGAGTAGGTTGGGAACTAGATTCCTTGGAGACTAGGTTCCTTAGTATGGGAAAACAACCTGCAGCCGGGCAAGCGGCCACCCGCCGGAAGATAAGCCATGCCCACTTTTGAAGCCACGCCCACTTGTGAGGAGGCCACGCCTCTACGGAAACCTGGGTTTGGGATGAGATGAGCGCCTCGGCAGGAGTGAAGAGGGCAGGGCAGACGCTCAAAACTGCTTTTCTCCAGGCATCTCGGGAGACACCTGGGGTCCTGCAGGGAGAGATGGAGGCCCTAGGGTCCCGAGCCAGCAGCTGAGCTGACCTGGATTTCGGATGAGATGGGCGCCGCGTCAGGAGTCTATAATATTGCTCTTTAAACTGGAGTTTTCTCTTAGGCTACATGCCAGCTTGATGGTATCTGAAAATTCTATGAACACTGAGAGCCACTGACAAGTTTTTGGTGTATGTGTGTATGCATGTGTGTGTGTGTGTGTGTGTGTGTGTGTGTGTGTGTGTGTGCATGCACATGCGTAGTGCACCCTGCTAATACTTCCCATGTATGGTCTAGCCTTAACCAGGAGAATTGTCTAGAGCGGAATGTCTCAATCAGGGGACCATGTCCCCCTGCCCCCCTATCTCTGATAGTCCCCCAGAACACTTCAAGGGGGCCACAGGTAAAAATCGCGTCAATGGGGAGGTGGGTTATGGCATGAATGTATAGTTGCCAACTGGTAGGATGGGACTACGGAGGCGGGCACACAGGAAGGAAATAAGGTCAAAGGAGGAAAGGCTAGAAAGATGCGGGGCTGGCTCCAGCTCTGTGTGACTGGGGTGTGGTTAGGGAACCAATTCTGTGATAAAGCCCTCTTGCCTTTGATAGGAATTTGTTTTCATTTCGGGGTTGCTGCTTCTGTGTCTTAGATGGATCACTCAGATGACATCTACTGGGCTTTACACAAAGCAATTTTGTAGCACAGCTTTTGATTTGGATTCCCATGCTCAGGGCCTGCAGAAAACTCTTGCTTGCCCTTCCTTTCCTTCCTTCCCTTCCCTTCCCTTCCCTTCCCTTCCCTTCCCTTCCCTTCCCTTCCTTTCCCTTCCTTCAGCTGGCCCCCTGTACCACCCACCGCCAGCATTTGCCCTTTTGCTCACACTAATTGCTCAATTGAGTGCTATGGGGACTGAGCTCTGCCTTCTCCACAACCCCCCAAACCCAAAAGCAACAAGAGAAAAACAAAAACAATAGCAGTAATGGAAAACCAACAAACAAACAACACTAGGTCATATGAGTATTAACTTCGGGGGGGGATCTATAACAGTTATGTGTATTTTATATTGATAATAACCCTCCTGACTTTGCTTATGTAATTTTGCTTTTGTAGCATGGAGTTACCAGAGTGAACCAAGGTAAGCTTGAAACGACATCCATTTCCTGAAAACCAACAATATCCATGTGGACACGCACATGCACACATGCACAGATACACCCTAGCATGCGTGAACACACATTTGTGGGATCTGGGGAGTATTTTCTCATAGTTAAATACTGAAAATGGGTGGCCAGGAGCAAGTGTCGGCCACGCCCACAGGGTAATGACCACGCCTATAGAGCAGTGACCACGCCCCCACACTAGAGACCACGCCCACAGGGCAATGGTCACGCCTGCAGAACAGTGGCCACGCCCACATACTAGAAACCACGCCCACAGGGCAATGGTCATGCCCACGGGGTAATGGCCACACCCACAGAGCAGTGGCTGCTATGCTCATACTTTAGAGACTACGCCCACATGGCAGTGGCCACGCCACAGAACAGTGCCCACGCCCTTACACTGGAAACCTTGCCCACAGAGTAATGACCATGCTCACAGAGCAGTAGCCACGCCCTCACACTAAAAACCACGCCCACGGGGTAATGGTCACGCCCACAGAGCAGTGACCACGCCCACCACCAGAAACCACGCCCACAGGGCCACAGCCAACTCCCCAGGATAGGTCTAGGACCCTCTGTCTTCCCCGGGGAGGGAGAGGATTTTCCATTCTGCGGCTCTTTCCACCAGCCTGCACTGTGAGCGTGACTGGGCCCTCCTTGCTTCTCCTCTCAGAGTGACCATTCCAGGTGTGAAGTGAGGCAGGAGAGGTCCTGCCCCACTGGGCCAGGGAGCAGCAGGCAGCTAAGGAATTCCTGCCGTTCCCGCCTGCCTCTGGAAGCAGCCACGAGAGTGTTTCAGGACTGGGAACGACGTGACAGGCAGTTCCCGAGCCATGTCAGCAAAACTATAAATGCAGGAAGGAAAGGGTCCTTATTTTGGAGGGGGGCGGCCACACCTGCTGGGGGCTGGAGGCTCTTCTGGTTCAGTGATAGAGATGCTCCGAGCGGTACTCCGGGGACCATGCAGCGCTGACCATCAGCCAGGGGTTCCTGGGCGCAGTGCCCTCGGCCTAGCCATCTCTCCCTTGCACAGGGAGGGACTTTAAACCACAGTCACTTTGCGTGGGCTGTTCTCACAATGCCACCCCTGGTTAGCTGAATCCTATTAGATAATTCAAAAATCCCTTTTGCTCTGACCAGGCTTGGGCTGTCTCAGTCCTGGCATGGTTGTGTGCTGCCGACCCTCTTCCTCTCTGGCCTGCTGGGTTGTGAGGGCGTGGCTGTGGTCCCTGGGCTGGCCACAGTGCAGCCACCAAGACCTCTCCCCTCCCCAAGAGGGCCTGTTGGGGATGTCGTCCTTGGTGGCCCTTCTGTAGAACACAGCCCCCGCGGGATCCCAGGCCTGCTGCGTGCATTTCCTTTCTCCTCTCTGATTTCAGCACATAGCCTGGGATCCAGCGCCCTTCTGGGTCTTGGGGCGGGTCTGAGTGGGCTGGGTACCACCACCCACAGGGAAGCTCTGTCCAGGCCAGCTGGGGGCGGCACTTCCCGCATGGCAGGTGCCTGGAGGAGGCGGTGGGCAGTGCCACGTGGGTGGCCACCTCTGCCACCCGTGTCTGACGCCTCCGTCTGATTCCAGGAAACCTGCAGATGTGAAGCCAAATGCGTTCTCGGAAGTCAAGACCAAGGGCGGAGAGGAAAACTATGGCTACAGTCCTGATGAGCTGCAGACCGGCATCAAGAGGGTGGGCGGGCCCACGCAAGGCCCACGCAGGCAGGGCAGCAGAGAAGGTGCGGGGTCGTCTCTCTTTGGGGGTGGTTTTTATTTATTTTTATTTTTGTTAGTGAAACACCATGAGGTACAGTTGTAGACTTACAATTTTTTAATGCTTGGGTTTCAGTTATACAATAATCGAGTGCCCATCCCTCCACCAGTGCCCATTCTCCACCTCCAGTGCTCCCAGTATCCCTCCCACCCCCTCACCCCCCCATCCCACCTCACCCCTGTGGCAGGGCATTCCCTTTTGTTTTCTCTCTCCTTTGGGGTGCTGTGGTTTGCAAAAGAGACATTGAATGGCAATCATGTTCGGTCTTTAGTCTACTTTCAGCATGCATCTCTCATCCTTGGAGGATCCTCCCAGCATCCTTTACTTGGTGCTCCCCTCTCTATCTGAGCTGCCTTCTCCCCCAGCATGTGTGGCTGCCTCCAAGCCATGGAGTGAACCTCCCTGTACTTATCTCAGCTATTCTTGGGTGTTAGCCTCCTATTTTGTTACTTTTATATTTTGGGGGTGATTTTTAGAAGAGGGAGGAATTCTCAACTAGATGGATTCTTGTTTTTAGTTATTATTTATTGAATCACCATGAGATACAGTTACCAAGCTTTCATATTTGAGTTTCGGTCATAGAATGAAATCAGAATATTTTTTAGACACAGGTTTATTTTTTTCTCTTTGGGTCACACCCAGCAATGTTCAGGGGTTACTTCTGGCTCTGTACTGAGAAATTACTCCTGGCAGTGCTTGAGGGACCATATGGGATGCTGGGAATCGAACCCGGGTCATCTGCGTGTAAGGCAAATGCCCTACCTACTGTACTATTGCTCCGACCCTTCGGTCATACAATGATCGAACACCCATTCCTCCACCAGTGCACATTTTCCACCACCGATATCCCCAGTATTCCCCCACCCCCCCAATCCTAGCCCTCCCCCCGCTTCCATGGCAGAGAATTTCCCCCATACTCTCTCTCCTTTTGGGCATTATAGTTTGCTCAAATTTCTCCACCATCATTCAAGCCTGCCTGCCAGGGGTAGCACTGTAGCACTGTCCTCCCGTTGTTCATTGATTTGCTCGAGTGGGCACCAGTAACGTCTCCATTGTGAGATTTGTTACTGTTTTTGGCATATCAAATACACAACGGCGAGCTTGCCAGGCTCTGGTATGCAGGCGGGATATTCTCGGTAGCTTGCTGGGCCCTCCGAGAGGAGCAGAGGAATCGAACCTGGTCAGCCTCGTGCAAAACAAACATCCTACCTGCTGTGCTATTGCTCCATCCCACCAGGGGTAGACGTTAGATAATTTATTTTCTGTTGCTGACTTTGAATATCATGAGAGGTGGGACGCTTTTGGAATTCTAAGATTGTAAATGGTTGGGGTTCCAGATACATCTCTGTAGGGAGCTAGTTCATTTTGTGTTTCATTTGGAGTCTCTGGATCAAGGCCATTGGTGTGCTGAGATGGTGCCTGGAGGCAGATTCTGGCCGTGACAGCCAGGACCCTGAGCGGGTAGGGAGACGGGGAGGGATGGCCTGACTCCTCTGCCACTGCCGTGAGGTCTGGAGTCTTAGTCCTGGAACCCCTGGAACTGCATCTGAGGTGACCTAGTGGAATTGGCTCGGTATGTCAGCTAGATGGATTCTAATGCACAGGATGTGCCTAAAGCTTAATAAATGAGGTAATAATAATTATTATTATTATAATAATCCAGGACTTAAATGTTTACACTTTCTCTTGCTTTCAAAGCTGCTTTTTGCCTTGAAGTGTGGGTGTGGGTCCTTTCCCTAATTTCAGTGAAAACAAATTTAGCAAGACACTGGGATTGTTGGGATGTTCTCACTTTTCAGTTTTCTGGGGCATTGGAGAATGTTGAAACTAAGCCCAATATATATATATATATATATATATATATATATATATATATATACACACACACATATACACACATTTATATATAACATATAAAATATAATATAAATATAATATATATTTTAAATTAATTAATTTTTTCCCCTTTATTTCTTTTTGGCAATGGGGGTGGTGGAAGGATCCCCCAAGGGGCGGACAGGGACCCTTCACCTGCCAGCGGCCCCGTCAGACTCTCAGTCTGTGTGAGACTCTGAGACCGGGTGTGCTTGGAGGCAGTGGTGCCAATAGCTGGGAAACCCAGCGATGCTCTGCCTCTGGGCCCACCCCCGCTGTTGACCAGGAACGGTGTGGTTCTGGGGATGGGACGGGGCTTGGAAATGTCCACAGTGTACACCCAAGCCCTGGGCTCTCTCCGGGCCCAAAACCCAACCTTGAAAATCTTTTCTGTTGGTCAGCATCTCCATCTCCCTGGGCATCCTGCAGGCAGAATGGTGTGCCCTTGAGCAGAGCCCTTGGGATCTCTCTCGGAGTGTGAACTGCACATCAGGTGGAAGAAACGGGCCTGCTGCACACATTCCCCTGGAGGGCGCTCACTCAGCAGTTTCTGCAAAGAGGCCTGAGAGAGTTTTTGCTCCCATGTTTGTCCGACTTTTCTCAGCAGCTCCTTCCTGCCTCAGTTTCTCTGACCCCCTGTTCATGCTGAACTTTACACTTCTGATGTTGAAACAGTTCACAAAGCAGGGACTGTTTCCTTGGGTAATCTGGCCACGAGTTCTGGAAAAAGTGCCTGTGAGCCAAGATGTATTTCTTAGTCTCCTGAGAAGGCAGTAAGTGAGTAATCAAGGCATCCCACCCAGCCCTTTCTGGTCCCTCCTTCCCATGTACTGGGTGGTCCTGGGTGTGAGACCCACCCCGGAGCTAGGGATTCCTCTAGGCTTTGGGTGAGACCATACTTCCAGGCAGGACACGGTTCCCATTCCACTGGGGAAAAAAAGTTCTGAAAGCATGAAACCTCAAGGGCAGTGTTTTAAAAAACTCTTGTTATGGTGGAGGGTGATTTTATGCCTGACGTACTGCATGAAAGCAAATGCATTTCTTGATAAAGCTAATAGTTATTGAGCTGTTTCCTTGGTATTCGTTATTTTTCACCCCAAACCCATCTATCTCTGCAGAGATTGTTGCTTCTACCCCTGTCAAGTCTAGTCGACCCAGGGTTATGGAAGACCATGGCAGCGTACAGCGTCAGCAGGTAATCACAGACATTCTGTCCCTCCCTGCCTCCCTCCTTACCTCCCTCCCTCCCTCCCTTTTGGTTGTTCTAGGGGACGTAGTCTCTTTCTTTCCTATGTCTTTCCTTTGGGGAAGAAGAACACATGAACAACTGAAAATCAACCCTTCCCCACTCATCACTCCTCTGGCGAGGAGCAGAAATAAACTCTGGATGCATTTAGGGAGGAGCCACAATGGTGCAAAGACAGTGGGCAGGGCAAAGACTCTCAGGCCGGGCCTCCCAGGGGCTCTGCACCAGGGACTTCCCACAGCCACTCATTTTTCCAGTGCAGCAGGGAACGAAAGATTGAACACTTCTCTCCTCAGGACCAGCAGATGTCCCGTTGCAGTATAAATAATGTACAGCACCGGGTTCCATTATTTAAGTGGTTCAGCACAGCTCAGGGGCTCTGGCACGGAAGTGGACGTTCTGATGGCCAGCAGGGGGATGTGTCACTGTCGGCTGTGCCTGCTTCCCAAGCCGGGCCCCTGGGGAGGAGCAAGTGGTTTGCTGGGGAGATAATTTCAGAGAATGCAGGCATTCCTGGGAGAGGTCGGCACACACAGGACCCCGAGAAGATGTTTTTCCCCGTCCCCGCCCTTGACACATCAAGGCTGGCACCTACCATCTGCCACTGACCCTTGGGTGGGGTTTAATTAACATGAGTGGCAGTGCTGGCGTCAGTGTGTTAAGAGGAACTGGAGGAATTTTTAAAAATTTTTAAAAATGTTAATAGTTTTTGTTTCTTGGATGGGGTCCACACTGGTGGTGCTCAGGGCTGACTCCTGGCTCTGTGCTCAGGGATTACTCCTGGGATCACAGGGCTCAGGGAACCCTGTGCAGTGCCGGGGATTGAACCTGGGTCTCCTGCATGCACAGCAAGTGCCCTGCCCTCTGGACTATTTCTCCGGCTCCCCAAGAGGCATGCTTTGAAGAAGGGTAAAAAATTTAATATTTTCTGATATAGTTCGAATTTCTGCAGGAGAGAACAAAAACCAAACCCAACCTGTGCCTCTTGGTAGGAATCTGCATATAAATACTGCCTCTTTGAGTGCAACTCTTAGGTGCATGTCTTAAGCCCCAGAGATTGGGAACCTGGGAGGAGGAAGATGTGTGTTGCTGAGACGAGGATGGAGAGGCAGGATGAGTGTCAGCCTCTGCACTCTCTCACGAGCCTCTCTGCAGATTCCCTGATGAGTGTGCCATGGCACATGAGGGCTGCTTCTCTTCAACTCTTTTGGTGGGTTCTTTACTCTAGAAAGAATTATTCTCAGGGACCCAGGTACTCAAAAAAGCAAGAGACCTTATGGGGAAGAGGAACGGGGGCACTGCGCTGGCCCTGGCCAGGGGGCTGGGCTGGGGTTGGCTTTCTGCATTGATCCCACTCTCCCTCCACACGCCGTGTGCTCTGGCTCAGTCTCTCCCAGGCAGTCACATGTTTTTTGGCTTTTTGTGTCATACCCGGTGATGCACAGGGATTCCTCCTGGCTCTGCACTCAGGAATTACTCCTGGCGGTACTCGGGGGACAATATGGGATGCTGGGAATTGAACCCTGGTTGGCTGCGTGCAAGGCAAACGCCCTACCCACTGTGCTATCGCTGCAACCCCATTGTTCACATTCCTGAATCCAGCTGAGCCTTCAGCAGACACTCGCTGGGGTCTTCCATGCAGGCAGTTCCAAATGCCCTGTTAGGGGAAGGTTCTGGATGGTGATGTGGGCGTGAAACCGTGCTCCTAGCCCTGCATGTGGGCTCCTGCTAGCTCCCATTCCCAGATCCTCTCTCTGTCTCTGTGCAGTGCATTTCCCTCTGCCAAGCCCTGCTGGGGCAGTGTGGTGGGTGGGTGGGCAGCACCTGTGGGGAGAGGGGTGTACTGAGTAGTGGAGCCCCACGGCTGCAGGATGTTTTCTCAGAGGTCCCCTCGGCCACTGGTCTCCACCCATTAAGGGCACTTGTCTCTCTTGCCAGGTACCCGGACACCGCCAGACAAGCTTGGCCCACGTTTCCTTTGCGGTGGCTAGTCCTCGGACGGTCAGGAACGCGACCATGGTATAGTGCTCTCCTACACATCAGCCCTGCTGTGTGCCGAGGTCTCAGACTGGGCACCGTGGCCTGGGAGGACACTGCCCGCGCCAGCCTGCCTTGCTGACCATGCTGGACTCTTTGCTGCTATTAGAATCTGACAGTGGGAAAAGGAACAAAGGGACCAAGTCCAAGCTGCCGCTGTGTCCTGATGATTCCACCGGCCCCCACCGAGCACGCCTCCTCGATGACCCCGCAGACGGGGATGGGACTGGCCAGTGTGTTTCCCAGTCAAGTCAGATGAAGATGCCATTGATGAGTGTGAGAAGTTGGGGCATTACTGCTTCTGAGCAGAGAAAAAGGAGCATAGAAATAAGTAGCAATCAGAAAGGTGGATTGTCTGGAAAACGAGAGGACCCAGGCTGCAAATACAGAAACATTCTACAGAGGATGTGTAGGTTGCAAAGCACCTACTGTCCTTGGGTCTTCACAGGAAAACCTGCATGGGGGTCCATCTCCTCTGGGCTTTTGTGTCCTTGAACCAGGTAGATGTGGATGATGCTTTGTATGGGCCGGGAGACCACCGATGCCACCAACACACTGTCAATGGATTGTGTGTTATTTAATAAAAGAGGAGGTACCATCAATGTGTGTGATAAGCTTTTGCTTTTTTCCCTCCCTTAAGTCTTCGCTGTTCAGGAGGTGAAGACTCATGTGTTAAAGACTCAAGCAATTTTTAAGAAGCAAAGCAGAAGACTGTAAAAACATTTGCATCTCTCCACTGGTCTCTGTGCATCTGTCTTGTTTCAAGTTAGTATGGATGCTGTTTATAAGAATAAAACCCTGGTCTTTCTAAGCCCCCTTTCTCTTGAAGATAATCATAGTGTCTTTCACTATTCACCTGTCTCATCAGATTTACCCTGCAGGCAGGGCTATGATTATGCTGACTCTGCCCAGGTTGGTGGAGGATTTTGTGACAGTAATTGGTCAGCTGCTAGGAGTGCCGTGTCCAACCATGCTGATGCCCAAGCAGAATCTCATGTTTGAAACAGGTTAATGTTTCAGTGAACTGCTTAGTTACTGAGTAAATGATGCAGATTAAAAAAATATTTTAAATTTTAAGTTAATTTTCAAAAATTTATTTAAGTGCCATGATTTACAAAGTTGGTCATAATTCAGTTATTTCAGGCATTCAATATTACAACACCAATCCCACCACCAGTGTGACGTGTGACCTTTCCTCCACCATTGTCCCCAGTCCCCCTGCCCCAGTTTGCCTACATAGCAGGCACTAATTAATTCATATTGCTTATGGCAATAAAAGGGCTAATGGAATTATTAAAAATTACTTTGGCAAAATAAAATCTGTGAAAATTGTTCTATCTCACCATCGGATCGTTAAAGTCCTTGTCTGAGGGTTTGCTGAGCTCTTTGTTGCTGATTGAGCCGTCTGTGTTATTGGTTTTGTTTACTGAGCTTAGTTGACATTTTCCCATCTTATTTGGTGTGCTCCTGCTGGGCTGTCAGGGCTGTGGAATATGGAGGTGTTGGTAGCTGCATATGTGGCCACATGCTCTAGGAACTCCAGCATCAGTGGGACTGGGCCAGTGAGTTTCAGTACCAGCTTGGCTTGGTGTCTTCTGAGATGACATGTGAGGCTGTGAAGCTGGGCTGTTGCTTACATCGGGGTGGCTGTGGTTTGTGGGTGTGGATACTGGGACTTACAGGGGTGTTGTGGGGGAGGCTGCCTGTCCCCAGTCTGAGATCACTCCAGAGTTTTCGCCTGAAAACCAGTGTATCTGGAACTTTTCATCTGGTATCTCTGCAGAGATTAGTTGAGAATTGGTAAAATTGGGCCGTTGGCATGAGGGTAGCTGTGGCTGCTGAGGGCTTTGGCAGGGTGGGGACTCAGTCCAGCCTCCCTTCCCAAGGGTACCAGAATTTCTAGACTGAAGACCCGTGTACTTGTGAATTTTACTGGCTGGGCTTGCAGAATGATGTAGACCCTTCATGAGACACCACACTTACCTCTTGCAGGTTCAATGAAAGGTAAATCAAGATTATATGTACTGTTATGATTTATACAGTGATTGTATAATCTTGAATCTATGATTACCTGCCCCTGTGAATCAGCAACTACCTTGAGGGACATTTTCTGGAACAACATGGGATGGTGCCAGGTATTATTCACCCTGATTGGACAGCTTGCATTTCATGTCCATTGCGATTGGTTGGTACCATTACATTAGCCATTCTGATTGGGCAATGCCTGTACAAGACCCATTCTGATTGGGCGGTTTTCATGCCTGTCTATTATTTTTAATGTACTGTGAATGGCTTTTTAGAACTTGGAGGGTCCTGAAAATAATATGACATTGCAAAAAAAAAGAAAAAAAGCGTCCCTAAAGGAAGAAAATTGGCAGACTGTTTTCCTAATTTCTTTGTAGTAGGACTAAAATATAACATTTCCCAAGTCATAAATACTGCTGCCTTTCCACTTCTGCAAGAGTGGAAAAATTGTCGGTTCAACTGCTTCGAAATGGAACTCTTGTTTATTATCATAGCTTGGTCTTTACTCACTGTCCATGTGGATCTGTCTCTCTTCACCACTCTCCAGTGGATTGCAGTCCAGGAGAGAGAGAGAGAGACAAAGGCTCCTGAGACTCCAGGGTTCCAAGGAAAATGCATCTTCTTCACTTAATATCTGCTCTTTGTAAACCACCTGGGACCCGAGTCCCAGTCCAGGCAAATGTTACTGGCAACCTTTGGAATGCCTTTGGTAACCTTAACAGAACCTCCTACTCTGCGGGCAGCCCATAAATATTGACCTTCAAGGGGCCACTATTGAGAAGGCAGTACGTGGAAGCACCATGAATACTTGCCATCTGCCTGCTCTAAGAATATTCTTGTGGTTATTTCAGGAGTTGAGGGGCGGTTGCATGTAGGATATAATGAACCCTAGGGAACAGTGCCAAATGATTTTCATCATCATTTCCCCAACTTCTGGGCTTGTTGAATCACTCAGTCTCCAAAGAATTTTTAAACTCCTCAGGGTAGGGGACTCTTTCCTGGGTCACTCGTGAACAGGTTCTTTCAGTTGGTTATTCCAACAGTGTTTCCTCACGGGATCTTCAGCCAGCTTTTTTTCTCATCAGAGGCAAATGCTTCAAGCAGCACCATCGAAAATGCAATAAACAACTGGAAATGAAGTAGAATGTGTGACTCGTTTCAGCAGTCGTTCTAGCCACAGGTACTCAGTAGGGGCCCACAGGAGCTGGGTTAGGGCAAATTATAGCTTTCATTGCTGTAGGGAGTTCCAGTGCATTGCACGGACCTATTCTCGGAAATGACCTTGATGTGCTGAGAATAAGCTCTTGTAGTAAGTGCCGAACTCCGTGTTTTCTGTCCGTGTTAGGTCTGTGAGCTTGTCCACTTTGACTCAGGAATCCTGCAGCCCTCACCCCGCTCCCTGCAGGCGACTCTCAGCTGAAAATGGGGTTTGTGAGGTAGAGAAGCCGCTTCCACTGTCAGCAGAAAGGGGTGCATGGGGGAGGGGAACTGGGGTGTGGCCCAAAAAGATCTGTAGGCCCCTGCAACTGGGGAGAGAGCCCACGGCGGGGAGGGCACTTGTCTTGTTATGCAACTGACCCTGATTTGGTCTTTAGCACCACATATGGTTCTCCAAGAACTGCTCGGAATAATCCCTGAGCACAGAGCTGGGAATATGCCCTGAGTGCTGCTGGGTGTGGTTCCAATCTTCCCCGAATGCCCCCCAAAGATAAAGAAGGTGCCCTAGTGATGAGGCGGCAGACTTATGTAAATCAAAGCCTTTGGCACTGGGTCCTCCTCAGGGAAATGGCACCTGTCCATGGTGCTGGGGTCCAAGGCCGCCCCCTGATGACCACCGCCAATGCTTAGAGTAGCCACCAGGAGTTATACCCCGTGCCCCCTGGAAAATAGTTGGAATCTGAAGCCAGGCTTCTAGTTCTAGGTGTTTCAAGACTAAGAGGAAAGGCTGCTGGCACAGGGTGGGGCCGGGCAGAGATGCCCAGAGATGCCCAGAGATGATCAGGGATGGTGCTCAGGACCCAAATGCGGGTGTTTCGATGCTTATGGTGTCCCGCGGCGAGTGATTCCTTCCTGTGTGAACAGGGGTCCCAGCCTCTCTGCAGGACAGCGAAGGACTTGAAGGGTCCAGAGGCCGGATGGAGGGGAGTCAGGGAGCTCTGGGTCAGACGTGCTGTCCAGGAGAGGAGTGAGGGGGCCTGGCAGGTGTGGGTGGAAGCTGTAGGCCTGATGGCTGCAGTCCTCCAGGGGCCGAGGGACAGGGAGACTCTATCCCGGACTCCCTCCTGTGAATCAGCAACTCACTTAAGGACCCTTTTCTGGAACCACGTAGGGTGGTGCCAGGCATTCATTCTGATTGGACAGCCTGCCCAGAATGTCCATTGTGATTGGTTGGCGCCGTTACATTGGCCATTCTGATTGGGCAGTGCGTATGCAACATCCATTCTGATTGGGTGGTGGTGACGCCTTGCTATTATTTTGAAATAATGTGAAGGGCGTTTTAGAATTTGCAGAACTTGAATGCACCCCAGAGGGAGAGTAGCCAAGCCATGCCAACCGGGTGGGGGGATCTGGGGGACAAGGACTCCACCCCACCCAGTCCTCTGCTCTTGCCTCCTGCTGACCAAGCCTGACTAGGGGGTGCAGGGGTCCTGCTCGTGTCCTTAGTGCTAGTTGGAAAAAGAGGCAAAATGCGTGTGGAGGGCCAGGAAGGAGATACTCACTCAGGGCCTGGGAAGGGGCTTTTCCACTCTTGCCCTTCCCGAGGGAGACACCCCTCACCCCGCAGGGACAGAAGTTAGAGGAGAGGACTTTGTTTGCGTCGAACTTGAATGCATCAGAGGGCTTGGAGGGGGGACTTCTCAGGTTCTCTCTGCTGCTGCTTACCCTGATAGCTACGTTTGTATGCACAAGCGCATGTCTGCAAGTGGGTGCTCCTGCATGCAAGCACACACGTGCACCCTCACACACACAACCCCCTGCCCCAGCTCTCATGCTGCTGCGCTGGGGCACATCTTCTGGAGGCAGCTGCGTCCTCCATCTGCAGATGGTTAATATTTAATTCTCACCCAGCTCAGGCTGTAAGCCGTGCCCTGGGCGCTGGCCGGTGAGGCGCACTGCAGCTTCTCAGCCTGGCTCCCGACCAAGGGCAGTCCCAGGAGGCTGGCTGGGCCCTGGCTGCAGCGACCCAGAGATGCCTCTACTTTCCTGCTCATTGCCCAGGCTCAGATGCAGGAGTCCTTGCCGGCCGGCCCCTCCTTGTGCCAGGCTGGGGGAAACTGAGGGTTTGTAAGTCCCAGCAGTTGTCCGTGGAGAATGTAGCACGCACGTATCGATGGCATTTCTCTTCTGAAGCCTGAGGAATATTTCACAGGGCAGCTCCACTTGGGAATTGTTGGTAATAGTTGCTTCAATTTCATGGCTAATGAAGTTTGAGGTAGTTCAAATGATGGCAAATTATTGTCTAAATCAAACGCTAATTAAAAAACCTCTCACTCTAGTCAATATCCTCCCACCCCCATAGGAAGTGCCAGTTGGACTGGTTAAGAGAAATGTAATCATCTGGAAGCTTCCA